TCTTCAGTCCATATTACTTGAATCATTACAGTATGGCTACCACAATGCTCTTGTAGCACAGTGGAGCTATTTTGACTGTCAGATTGCTTGTTAAATTTAAATAATATTATTTACTTTTCATGTTGTGCAAATTATAATTAAATTTTAGATATGGCTTTTTTGTGTTACAACACACTTTAAAAAAAAAACAACAGAAAACAAAACAGCAAATATTGCAGAATTACGAAGAATGGGTCTTCTGTATAACTATTATAATTTTATAACTTTAAATTGTACCGTTAAAAATAGAATTTGAAGACAGACAAAATTGTTAATCCCTGTTCCAACACAGTTCGAAAATGAAGTCTTATGTTTTGACCTCCGCGAGTCATGTACACCACTATCTTGGATACTCTTAGTTTGATGTCATTCAAACTTGGATCACATTTTATTATCATCCTGGGTGACTTGTTTCGCACAATAGAATCTAATCTGTCATAAGACCCAGACCATAAAATAAAATAGACATAAATATATCAATATAAAATACAAAACAGAACACTAAAATTTACAAACCAAATAATAATTGGGCTTGCAAATAATGTATGCAAAAGTTTAAAATTCTATGAAAAAAACATCAGGGAAACAATATTTCATTTTAAATTAATTAATTAATGGTTAACTTCATTAATGGGGTTGCATGCCTACAGTGTTTCAATGCAACAAATTCTGTTATTATTAAGCTGCTTCCATTACTCAGGGTGACAAACAAATTTATAGCTGTGATCTTTTTTCTCTGATTTTTATTTCAAAATAAAACATTTCCTGTGTGTCATCAGTTGTAACAGCTGAAATGTGTACACTGAAAGCATAGCATATACTTTCATACATTGTATGAGCCATAACAGGAGATGATACCATGTATCAGGTGCTCAAACATAATCTCACATGAAATAGACATTTTCTTTTCACTGTTCTCAATGTCTTACGATGGACTGAATGAATAACGATATATGATTCTATTGTTTTCAGGTTCTCGATAGTGATAAAGGTTATCCCCTTGATATGTTTTGTATACCAAGACATTATGAAGAGGATTTGGAATCTGTTCTTTTACCAAGGGGACTCATAGCTGACAGGTGAGTCTGTTCTCTTACCATGGGGACTCATAGCTGACAGGTGAGTCTGTTCTTTTACCAAGGGGACTCATAGCTGACAGGTGAGTCTGTTCTTTTACCAAGGGGACTCATAGCTGACAGGTGAGTCTGTTCTCTTACCAAGAGGACTCATAGCTGACAGGTGAGTCTGTTCTTTTACCAGGGGACTTATTGCTGACAGGTGAGTCTGTTCTCTTACCAAGGGGACTCATAGCTGACAGGTGAGTCTGTTCTCTTACCAAGGGGACTCATAGCTGACAGGTGAGTCTGTTCTCAAGGGGACTCATTGCTGATATGTGACTCTGTTCTCTTACCAAGGGACTTATAGCTGAGAGGTGAGTCTGTTCTGACTCAGCATTGTTGTTTTATGTACTCGATACATAATATGATTTTTTTTGTCTTCCCATATTCACACAGTACATGTATCTACATTAGTGACTAAATCCTGTGTTGCATCTATTTGAATAGGACAGAAAGATTGGCTCGTAATATAGTTCAAGACATGGATAATTCTGGGGCTGTATATGCACTTTGTGTGTTAAAGGGAGGGTACAAGTTCTTCACAGACCTTTTAGATTGCATCAAGGCACTCAATAGGAATGCAGAAACTTCCATACCTATGTATGTGGACTTCATCAGACTCAAGAGTTATGAGGTAAGAACTGGCAGTATTCTGTCAGATGTGAGAAATATACCATGAATGTTATGTAAATTGGTCTTCTCTTAAGGCCAATCCTGGATTGGTGTAATCTGACCCAAATGATGCCCATTGATTGTAAATTTTCAATAATATGGAAAGAAAAATTGAAAATAATTCAACATTTTAAAATTGGAATCATATTATCAATGTGCATATTTATGTTCCACATAACATTGGGATAGATCCATATCTGTGTGCATCTCGCTATCTATCGTATCTTCTATCGGTTCCTGGTTTTGCATCAAAATCAAAAGCTAGTATTGGGAAAAATAAAAGCTTCATACATGTATATTTCATTTGGTGTCTGTAACACTGCTTGGCATGACTTGCACTGTGCGAATGACATGCATGGCTCATGCTCATACAAATGAACTGCCTGTGTTAACGACGCGGACAGCGCATGCAAACCAGACGCTCACGGTAAAACTAAGCCATGTGCATGTGATGAGAGAATAATTTTTGTTATTATTGCAGCAGAAGCACATTGATTACGGTAAAGGGCAGCAAAGTATCAACAACGTAAGCAGTATTTCCATTGTCTACACTGTCTTGCGGTGTATGCTCTGTGCCAACAATCAGTTCTCACTCTACACCATTATTAGCAAGTAATTTGGTCATTATAGCATGCTTATCTGTCATGGTAACGTTTTTTGTGTTGTCATGGTAACTTTTTTTAATCGTTGCCACACTAATTCCAACACGTTGTTGCTAACCTGGTAGTCCTTAGTAACCTAATTTATTGCATATCATTATAGAACCCACTCTGTCCATTTATGGTAATTAGCTACTTATCATATCCGTATTTATTATCACACAGTCTACCAAAAATGCACACTTTACTTAATCTCTGTGCCTCTGTTTTATTAGAATTGCATTATAGTTGTCATGGTAATTGAGTGTTATTATTATAAGATTTATACGATGAGGATATGAAATGCAGACCTGATTTGTGAGATGAGCAATAAGTCAATAAGATGACAACTTTGTTCGTTTCAGTTCTGAAATTGGACAGTTTCAAGTAATCATCGCATTCTGTGTGGTGTCATTACATTTGATCGTCGTTTGTTTCTTATCACCACATGGACGTTTCATACCCTTATCTTTATAAATCATCGTTATTACATACGTTGTTGGAGCTACAACAAAGGCATCAAAGGCCTTGATGCACATTGATATTCCCTAACATTATCCTATGTTCTAAGATCATTTTATAAATTTTGGTCTTGAAAATGGTTGCCCTCTCAATTTCAAAGTTCGAGTCTTGCTACGGTGAACTTTACAGTAATTCAGTGACATTAGTGGATACTAAATATTATTCACTTTGACTTAATGTCCTGAAAACCCAAATAAATATTTTGCCATTGTAATTCACGAAATCAGTTCACAGAATAATAGAATCTCTCATTTTCACTGAAATAAATTGAAATCATTCAATAATTTCAGAGGATTTTAAAATATTAGAAATTAAATTTCAAATATTTGGCTTGAATGTTAAACAGTCAAGTTATTGAGATGGTTTGAACATGTCTGTGCTGGAATGTATACGCATCTACGTTGTACGTACGTAACCCAAACAACATTCCCCAAACCTCCAGGAAGGTGAGGACTGCGTGTGTGAGACAAATAAATTTAACAAAACATTACATTGTATTACAACATGCTGTTAAAAAATCCAATTTGTCATGATCAAGGTCAATGCAACCA